ATTTTTTTCTGTATTTGCATCCTAGTTACATCTGACTTACATGCCTGATCTGCTGACTTCTACTGTCTTTTCATGACTCCTACATTATGGAGGTAAGTTAAGACTTAATATCAATTATAGTAGTGTAACATTCATTCTAAACTTGTATTCCCTTAATGTTTCTTTAATTACTAAGCACTCTTGTATCATTGCATTTTTATTAGCAAATTGTGTATATTTCAATTTTGGCTGAGCTATTTTACTCTGACTAAATGTATAATTTTGTGTAAATTTCAACTAGTTAGTATTTCTATATACATCTATATTTTCATCTTTTTGTGCGTGATTTCTCAAGTAAACTAATAGAAAAATACTATGTTTTTCTCTGTAGTCTTTAATTTGAATCAACTTTTTCAGACTCTTTATATAAAGTATCTTCATCCATCTTTGAATCTATTATAATTCTTATTTTTCCAAGTTCCTGTTCACTAAGACTATAGTGTTCCAAATTTTTCAGTTCACTTGAGGATGTCAGATGTCCAGCATTGTGGGGAACCATAAAGTCCAGTATATAGCACAATCCCAGTCCCCATCTTAAAGGAAACTCATGGAACCTCGCACATTACAGCTAGACTTTCTTGGGGTCTCTAATTACAAGAAGAGTAAGCCAAACCTCTCCTATGTGGCTTCCAACTTGGGAAACCAAAGAAATTCAAATTCTTACCAGAGTGTGAAATGAGGGAAAGTAACATGAAATAGAAATCCTTGATATTTGGTGTATTTTACTCAACTGATTGAGTAAAAAGCCACTTTAAAACAATGATTTCGGGCTGGCCCGGTGGCACAGCAGTTAAGTTCGCACGTTCCGCTTTGGCGGCCCAGGGTTTGCCAGTTTGGATCCCGGGTGCGGACATGGCACTGCTTGGTAAGCCATGCTGTGGCAGCCGTCCCAGATATAAAGTAGAGGAAAATGGGCACAGATGTTAGCTCAGAGCCAGTCTTCCTTAGCAAAAAGAGGAGGATTGGCAGCAGATGTTAGCTCAGGTCTAATCTTCCTCAAAAAAAATAAATAAAAATAAATAAAACGATGATTTCTGGATTTGACGTGTGAAATCTGAAGGTGCAGAATGCTGTCTACCTAAAAGTTCTGTATGGTTAGAGAAGTCTTAGGCACATTTTAGTTTGGGGAGCAAGTCCTATTTACTTTGCTGCATGTTGTTGCTTTTTTATTCTGTGCCATGCTTAATACTCATTTCCCATTCACCATGTAAGGTGTTAGCTTTTTATCCATTAAAAGATTTCTATGGTTGGATCTATCTCATAGTTTAGGTAAATATTAAAGTATTTTCTAAGCTTAATAATTATGAGATGCTGAGTTTTTTGGTGAAATTTGTACATAACTTTTCCTCTCTAAGAGGTCCAATAGAAGGCCTAATAATTCTTGAGGTGTAGTTCTGTGGCAGAGCTGGTAATTACGGTTTTTACTAGGTCATTGATGTTCCAGAAATCTGAGTATTTTCAGTAATATATTTTCATCTCATCTCTTTATTTCTTGAACTTTTATTTAAAACACTAAGTTTGATGTCATGTTGTTCTCTTCTATGGGTTCTTTGGCTCCAGGAAGGTAATAAAATTTCCTAAATTTCTTTTAAGAAATTTCCTCTTAGTAGCTTCTACATTGTTAAACTTGCTGTTACAGAGTCAACTTCCCCAGCATAGAGGAAAAATAACTCGAATATAGGAGATTTAGAGTGCTCTTAGCAGGTCTCTTATTGTCCCAGCAAGGTCTCTAGTGATGTGACCATTTCTATTATTTATGTAGAGAAGGAATACAAAAACTTATAAAGCTGAAGTTTGTCAGATATAAACAGTATACAAGACAAATTAGAAACTGCTTATGATTCCCTAAACCATATATTTATCAAGCTGCTTTCCCTTGACCTTTTTATATTACTTTGGCTCCTGATTTCAGATATATTTTGAAAGCAGCCCAACTGATTTCCAACTTTACCATAATCTAAGAACTCTTTGTAATTATGACTTGTATATTAAATTCAAGAGTAAAATTCAACACTAGAGCTCCTTTTCAGAAAGTCTTTGTAGGGAGAACTTCCAATCACTTATAAATTATTGAAGTTCAAAAATAAGCTGAAATCTTTAGTACCTTATCAGAAATGAAATTGTGGGTGATGGAAAGAAGCTGAATCAAACAAAACAGAAGTGGGAGAATAGGAGAGGCCCAACTATTGATGGTACCGTTAAAATGGACAAACCTTAAATGTCATTGTGATGATTCATGTATATGAGATGGATTGATAGGTGTATATGATTTGATAGAACAAAGTTTCTGGCATAATTGGCTAAGACAAGGTTCTGCCATTATTTTCTTATAATTTAAAATAAAATTGACAAATCAGTTCAGTCAAGAAGTTGAGTTTTAAGTGGTGCCCATATGAAAATGTTAGAATCTTTTTTTTTTTCTGCTTTTTCTCCCCAAATCCCCTCAGTACATAGTTGTGTATTTTAGTTGTGGATCCTTCCAGTTGCAGCATGTGGGACAACGCCTCAGCATGGCCTGATGAGCGGTGCCATGCTCGCGCCTGGGATCCAAACTGGTGAAACCCTGGGCTGCCGAAGCAGAGTGCATGAACTTAACCACTCGGCCATGGGGGGCCGGCCCCAATGTTAGAGTCTTTTCATTCTAAGCAGGCAAGAGTTTTTAATTTGCCTGTGGTGCATCTAAGCTATCCCTGTTTTCTTCAAACTACGTTGCCTGCCTCCCTTTCTAAAACAGGATTCAATTTTTTGCATGTCTTGACATCCCAGTTTCAGTATCCTACTCTATTTTGGAGTGAACACAAGAGGCTGAGATGATCTTGACAGGTGTGTCTCCAGATGAGATAATCCCTAAAATATTTACTAAAATAAGAAACTCAATCCATTCTGAATGTATACTGTCCCTAATGAATAATATATTTTTTAATTGTGGTAATTATCTCCTTCTAAAAACCTCTGCATTGTGAACTCATGACTTATGAGAAACTGTTTAATAAAAGGCTTAAGTTATTTTAAGTTAAACCCATTGTCAATATTATAAATTGTATTTGTAGTAAGCTCTAGAAGGGAAGATATTGTTTTGTTCCTTGCAGTATCTCCAATGTCTAGAATAATATTTGGCACACAGTAGGTGTCAATAAATATTTATTGAATGAATGAATGAATGTTATGTATATTATATGTTTCCACAGGTAATATGTTTCTAATAGCACATTAAAAATAACATTTTAGGGGCCAGCCCAGTGGCGCAGTGGTTAAGTGCGCACGTTCCACTTCGGTGGCCTGGGGTTTGCCGGTTTGGATCCCAGGTGCAGACATGGCACTGCTTGGCAAGCCATGCTGTGGTAGGCATCCCACATTTAAAGTAGAGGAAGATGGGCATGGATGTTAGCTCAGGCCAGTCTTCCTTAGCAAAAAGAGGAGGATTGGCAGATGTTAGCTCAGGGCTAATCTTCCTCAAAAAAAAAAAAAAATTAAAAAATAACATTTTATGGGGCCGGCCCAGTGGCATGGTGGTTGGATTCATGCACTCTGCTTCAGCGGCCTGGGGTTTGTGGGTTCGGATCCTGGGTGTGGACCTATGCACTGCTCATCAGCCATGCTGTGGCAGTGTCCCACATACAAAATAGAGGAAGACTGGCACAGATGTTAGCTCAGGGACAATCTTCCTCACCAATAAATAAATAAATAAACAAATAAATAAATAAAAATAACATTTTATTTCTCATCAAACTAGTTTCCTGCAAATCTGAATGACTAAGAACACATTTATTAGCAGTTTAAACATTTCCAGTCTTATTCCTTGCCAAGCTGTAGTTCCAATATTTTTTATTTCAGTATTTTTTTAACCAGTTATCAATTTTTAATAATCTTATCAGCACAGCATTATACAGAATTAAACAGCATTGTAGCCAACCCCATGGCTGAGTAGTTAAATTTGCACACTCTGCTTCGGCAGCCCAGGATTTCAATGGTTCCAATCCTGGGCACGGACATGGCACCGCTCATCAGGCCATGCTGAGGTGGTGGCCCACATAGCACAACTAGAAGGACCTACAACTAGCATTTACAACTATGTACTAGGGGGCTTTGGGGAGAAGAAGAAGAAGAAAGAAGATTGGCAACAGATGTAAGCTCAGGTGCCAATCTTAAAAAAAACCTTTTTTTAAAAAAAGAATTAAGCAGTGTTACATATATAACCATGCCAACTATACCCAACTAATTAAATCACATACAAGCCAAAAACTTAGCTCAAGAGAAATAGCGTGGGCCTGCCCCATGGCAGAGTGGTTAAGTTCTCATGCTCCACTTTGGCAGCCCAGGGTTTCACCGGTTCGGATCCTGGGCGCGGACATGGCACTGCACATCAGGCCACACTGAGGCGGCGTCCCGCATGCCACAACTAGAAGGACCTGCAACTAAAATATGCAACTTTGTGCTGGGGGGATTTGGGGAGAAAAAGCAGAAAAAAAAAAAAAGAAGATTGATAACAGTTGTTAGCTCAGGTGCCAACTTAAGAAAAAAAGAGATTGTGCCCTAGAATATAATGGTAGCAAAGGAACCAGACCAAAAAGTGTTTTGATCCCCAAAACTAAGATGACACACTAAAACAACTAAGTTGGCTTTTCTGCAAGAAAAGAGAAGATGGTGCCTATTCATAGGGCTTTTTTTCTTATTTGGGTCCTTATTTTCAGTTGCTAACGTTAACATTACTAATCTTGAAGCATTTTGCACTTTTACATTCTACATAACCTTTGAGGTACTGTTGGAAAAATTTTTAAAAATCTTTCTTCCCTACAACCTAGTACACGAATCTGTAAATAATTAGTGGAAATTTCTGGAATGGTGTTTCTTTACAGCTTTCTTTCACAAAAAGGGTGGTAGAGTAAAATTTATGTCAGTGTGTGATAATAGGCCATACTATACCTTAACAATCCCTCTAACGGTGACACACACATCTTTCAGGTATAGCTGCTGCTTCCCTTTTTTTTTTTTTTTTTGTCTTTTTTAATAGATAATACTTCTACATGATCTGGTGAAAAGTAAGTCTTCTCCCACACCTAAACCCCATTCACTCAGTTCCCTCTCCAAAGGTGACGTGTATCTTTGCTGAAAATTCCATGCATATGTAAGAAAATAAGTATGTATATTTTTTCTACAAATGGAAACTATATATATGAAGTGGAAATATATTTTTTCTACTTTATACATTGTTCTACACCTTGCTTTTTTTCACTTATAAATAATTCACAATCCTTATCAGTTTATAAACTGCTTTCTCATTCTTTTTAAGGACTGCATAGTATTTCATTGTATGAACCATAATTTACCCATTCCCTATTGATGAACTTTATTTCTAATCTTTTGCTCTTATGATGAGGTACTTTCTCACTTGAATGTGAGCTCCTTGAGAGTAAAGATTTTTATCTTATTCATTTTTTAATCCTGAAAACTTAGTATAGTGTCCAACAAATGTTTAACAGATGTTTTTGAATTAATTGTACTTTTTAAAATGTTCAACTGCTTCCACTCAATAGTTTTTAACCCTTCTATGTGCAAAATATTTGGTGCTCTTTGACTTAATGATTACTCTTCTAGATGTTTATCCTAATGTTTAAAATGACACAAATATAAGAGGAATTCCTACAAAAAAAAATCACTAAGTCAAAGTATATGTGTATTTCAAGTATTAGGAGAGGTTATTCAAAAGCTTTTCATCAAATGTGGCTGCTAATTAGTAACAAAGGTATTATTCCTCTCACCAAGTGTTTAGCCCAGTGCTTTACACATACTAGTGTTCAAACTGATGAGTGGGTCAAGCTCACATTGAAATGAGAAAAATTTGTTTTTATGAAGGCATAGAGGTCTATACAGAGGAAAGGTCTGACTAATATGACTGGGAAAGGAAGAAAACAAGGCTTCACAGAGGAAGTGCAATTGAAAGTGGGCCACCACCATCTCCTCCTCCTCCCCATTCCCCTCCCAACCCCTCCCTCCCTCTCCTCCTCCTCCATATCATCATCATCACTAATAGTTACTGAATGCCTTCCATGTGCCAGGCAATGTATTGAGTACTTGACATTATCTCCTTTAATCCTCACATATCCTATAAGGGAGATATATTTATTAGCCCCATTTGACAGATGAAGAAGTTGAAGCACAGAGAGGTTAAATGACTTGCCCTAGTCATATAGCTAGTGAGTGACTGAGTTGGGATTAGAAATCAAGCAGTCTGATTCCAAAGCCCATTCTTGAAAGCTGTGTAAGGTTCATGAAAAAGAGAAAAGGAGAGAGGCACTGAATGTAGAAGGAACATGTGCCAAAGCACCAAGTGTACAGTGTTGTTTAGAGAGCAGCAAGCAATTAGTGTGGCTTAAGCATTGTGTGGTTGCCCAGAGATGGTATCTTAGGAGACAAAGCCAAAAAGTTAGGCTGAGTACTTATTTGACTAACATATATGCCCTAAATATGGAATTTCCAAACAAGAAAATGGCAATTTCCCTTTCTAAAAGAGAACTCCCTCTCGAAAAGAGAACAGAGAACCTCATTTCTTTTTCTGAGATTGCTCTGGCGTGATGGTAGTCTCTGGTTTCAGTGTTTTGTTCATGGAGAGAGCTTCAGGCCTTTTTATCCTTTCAAAGCTATAGCATTCAGTTTTGTCTTCAGATACTGTTCTAGTGCTGACCAGATGAAAGCCTTCCATTAACAAAGTGTCAATCAGTAAGCCGAGGACATTAGTTCCGTTGGCCAATTTTCGGTTATCAGGTTTTATAGAAACATACCTAGAACAGACAAAAAGTGTTTAATTATAAAGCACCCCTTTAATAACTAGCAAAACTAAACACATAAATTTGACTTACAACCTCAATAAAGACATCATACCATTTTTGATCAAAATTTTTTTGAGACTTCATTTATAAACCAAAATCAGTAATTTCAGGGTACTGAAAATAGAGACCTTGCTGTGATCTCCAAAGTCATTTTAATTCTCCACTTAGAAATAATAACCAACAATGATGAATTTTCACTGAGAAATTATTTTCTGGAGCAAACAATTTGATTAAACAATTAAATTAGCTTAATTTTTATATAACTATTTCCAACTTACTAAATAGATTTTAATCAATTTAATTGATTAATCATTTTAATAAACATTTTATGCATTTACGATTTTCCCCATCCATTATCATCCATTATTCATCCATTATCAGCACTAACATTACAGATTTTCTTTTGTGATTTATTCCTGTTGAATGCATTTTTTTTCAGATGAAATTTTGCGGATATAAAATGTCAAGAAGATTTTATTGTCAATTTTTACTCGATAACCGTCCATTGTTGAAGACTGTGGGGTTAAAAGACCTCTGGAGTTGAAATACCAAGACTGTATTTCCTGGGAAACTCAATAGAACTTAATATACATAATTCAAGAAAAATATACTTGAACTTTTCAGATTGGCTATATGTTGGCTATAATAATGTCAACATAACATGTCCACATAGATATAGCTATATCACTCCTTCTTTATCTAGCATCAAGTATTTTATGTCTCTGTGTCCTCCCACCATTTGTTTATAAGATGTGAAGAAAAGGCTAACTTAAATTAGTTCCAGGCAACAACCTAAACTATCTGTAGTTTTATGGGATATAAAGAGCCTTGGGGACATCCCTAGCCTCCCTTTAATATGACTGAAATAGAGTAGTTATTGTAGCTCTCATTTAGAAACTCATTCTAGGCAAAGAAAACAATAATAGGATGTAAGATTATAAAACTACAGAGTACATATCAAAAAATGGTTTTTCTGATACAGCAAATTTTTAACATTAGTAAATTATTCCATCTACCCCCAAATCCCTAACCAAGCCCCCTAGATCTTGATTGTATAGCCTAGAAACATTTGTCAAAGAGGGAAAAAGTTACACAACATCTCACAAAATTAAGATAGGAATAGTATATAGTAGGTGATAACAAAGTGGAATGCACTTGCAAAGAAATCACTGAACCAAAATACTTGATTCCCTATAGGGCCAAATTGAGAAATGAAAGATTTCAAGGCACAAGACAAGGAGAGAAAAAAACCAATGAGAAATATAAGATCAAAACTTAAAAGGCAACAGTACTTTTCCCTTTGAGCCAGTTTAAAAAGGAAAGGTCAGATAGAATAAAGTCTACCAAAGAGACACTAGAATCCTGTGACCATAACTTGAGCTTGATAATGTGGTATCATATGAATGGCCATCTGCAAGATGCAAGTCAAGTATTTCTAGTACTGAACTTAAGAGATGGTAACTGAGCAACCTGCTAGGTTAACAAGGCCTTAGAGGGGTAAATCATATTAGAGAAACATACTGAACAGCTGAATGATACACCAGATTTTAGGGAACCATTCAGGTTTACTCCTCTACTTTCCACCTTCAAAAACATCTGAATGGACAGATTCAGACCAGAGAGTGAGCAAGAAATAAAAATGATTGCTAGGTAAGCAGTTATATACGTAAGGTGAACCTTTTAATGGGAGTTTTCATCCGCTCACCTGAAATCCCAATAATGTCACTTTATTCAAGTTATCTATCTTTACATTGAAATTGGCACTAAAGGAAAAAATCACAAACATTTATGGGATGGAAAAATTCTGAACTTCAAACAACTGAAAAGATAGGATAATATAATTTCATGCTGCAAAAAAAAAGTTAATTTTAAAAATAGCTTCTGGTTTGGAATTTTGTTTTGGAAGTTTAAATATAATGCCATTCTCACATTAAGATGAAAAGAAATTTTGTACTATTTCTAAAACACAAACACTTAACAACAAAGGGGAACCCACTTGGCATTGTGTACACATAAGAATATCTCAACTTGGAGTTTCTAATCTTGTTTTTCAAGATTACAATTATTTTCTCCAAATGCATAGTTTTTAAAGAACATTTAGTAGTTCCAGGATATCTTTTTACTTTGCATGTTTATTGTAAAAAACAATGACATCATTTTTCCTTAGGTTTCTAACTTTCTAGAAAGGGATCCCCAAAGATCTCAATCAAATTAAAAAAAAACGAAAACTGGTCATTTCCCTTCTATTTATGTTAGTGCCCCACCAATGAAAAGAAAGTTGTGCACAGACATATCTTAAAAACAGTTTGAGATAGAGTCTTAGGTTTTCTTCACAGTTAGCCTATTAATTAAACTGCTTCTCTTTTCCCAAGATGACATTTCAACCTCTTTGGAAGGGCAGGAAATTATAAATTGTAAAAAGTTAAGAATTGACATACTACCCAGTGTTCTCCTATTAGTAAGCAAGATCAAGGGGTGTTTTATGGGAGAGGCAAACATTGATTGTTCCCGATGGCTACTGCTGAAGTTAATATCTCAAAATATGTCCATCGACCTTTACCCTAAAAAAGTATATTTTATTTTAAATACTATCAGTAAAGAACATATGCAGACTTTTTTTTTCTTCCTTAAAATTAAAGCCAGCTTTCACAGTTAGTTAAAAAAAATAAAAATGGTGGACAGCATTAAGACATTTTTAAGGGGGAAAAATGTGTCCATGACAGCAGAGTGGAAATCAGCCTGAGGGTCCAGCCAACAACAACAGGGGGAGAAAGTGAATAACTGACTCAGGAGCAACTATCCTTAACATACTGACAGCCTATCCCAATATTTTGAGTTGTCTAAGTGTGCCAAAGAGGTAACAGGATACCAAATTTGCCATGAGATATATATGCCTTAATGGTGTTTAAAAATAAAGTGGGATAAAGAAAAATCAGTACTCAAATCATAAGGAATGAAAGAATAAATATACAGAGTGTAAGGAAATCGGGAGAAACTTATTGAGCTTTTATTATATGCCAGCCACTGAAAAAATCTCTTGGGGACAAAAGGCATCTCATTCCTGAGCCAAACTTATTAGCAATGGAACACAATCTATAGGATTTTTCCTCCTACAACTTGAATGACCATAGTCCCACTTTACCCTGGATAGTCTTATTTATTCCTATTGTCTCACACAATAACAATACCTTCTTTCTCTCTGAAAAGTATCCTAATTAGGACAATAATTATCTGGTCATTCTACCCAACTCTACTGGTTACCCCAAAACGTTATTTTGATTAATCATTTTTTCCAAGAAAAGTTTCAGGCATGAGAAACTTTCAGTTTTGAGGGGAAATATCAGGAACTGGTATAGAAAAGAAATTCTTCAAAGTACAAAATACCTGACTCCAGTTTGGTTATCAGTAGTGCTGTCAGAGCCACACTGGAAAACCAGGTCATGGTAAGAAGGTCTTTGTGGAGGCAGTGGAAGTAAGTTCACCTGATGAGGGAAAGAGTTACTACTCCAGGTCGGTGCTGAATGTTGCTCTATAAACACTGTAATCCTCCCAGTTAGCATCTCAATTGTTTTGCTGCAAGAGCCAAACACCCTGAAAAAAGCTTGAGTGTTCCGGCTTAGGAAATGCACTTCCACAAGAGCAGGTCTCGGCTGTAGCAGGTGTTCTTGATTTAAGAGATCAACCAGAGGATCAAGTTCATAGAAAAGAGCCTCTCGCTGAAGCCTAAGATAGTCTGAAAAGTCAGTGGGTAATAAAAGCTGGTGAGTTCTCAAAAAATCTAAGATGAAACTAAACAAAACACCATCTCTGTCCACAAAAATTTGGCCACCAACCATCTTGAATTCTTGGTCTCTGCCATCTAACATTCGTGTCAACCGAGAGGCAGGAAACTGCTTTATGGTAGAAAACCTTGTTGTGAATATCTTCCCTCCCACGTTCAAAGTGACCAGTTCCTGACTACTCATTCTTCTCTTGCTTCAAACTAGAGGCTACAAACCATCAGTTACAGACTTAGGAACTTGTAAATCAACCTATAACCATTAATATTACTAGTTATATATGATTAAGAAATGGAGGGGAGGGGAAAATAACAAAAAACAGAGACGTAGATTCCCAAGTAACCACTGTAAAGCAAACAGTGTATCCATAGCTGTGTTTGCAAATATGAGTTGCTTGGGAGCTTGTAGTATACAAAGTGAAAAAGCAACTGCCAATTTGCTTTGGATAGTTTGAAAACTGCCAATATATCTGAGGATAAAATGTCAAATAGATCCCTTTCCTATATTCCATAAAAAATTCTCCACAAAGACTTGTCATAAATCTATATTTTAAAAAAGGGGAGCAGAAAAGCATTCCCCCTCCCCAGACCTATTATCTACTCTTATCTTCCTCATGGCAGAGGATTTATACAGAAATATTGTCATAATTTCTTATGATCCCTTTAGCAATTTAGTGACTAAATTGTGAATTGTCAGTTAGGGATGAGGCAGCTGTTACCTCAACTAGCAGCTTAATTTGACCCTTCTTCTCATAGCCAGAATGATTCCTCTCTTTAAATTTAGTTGCCACCTTTTTTTCCTGTCCCCACTTACATTACCTCTTCTCAACCAAATTAAAAGACTAGGGTAAAGACACTCTGGACTTTCAAAGGAATGTCTTTTTCCATGCCAGAAATAAGGTAAACTAGGGACTAAGTCTAAGATAAAGTCACTTCTCTTGTTTTCATCTGAATTCTAAGCAAGGTGATATAATTAAGTATTTATTCTGTGGGAGATAGCACATCTTTCTCTCATGTGAGCAGACAGAACAGCATTAGTGTGTAACAACTTACATTGTACTTTATGATATTGTATAGACTGTTTCATCTCTTGTCAAGTTAGTCTCATTACTCTTAAATTCTTTAAGCAAGTAGATTGCTTTGGTTGTAGAATTGCCATTATACTTTGGAACAACAACACACCTGCCCGTAAAAAGGAGGCTTTCCCATTTTCTGCTCTTGCCATGTGTTAGACTACTTTTTTTTTAACCTATGCCTTCGCTTGCTCAGCCACTACCATTTCTGTAGTTTATCACCAAATTCATTTGGTGATAAATTTACAAAACCTAAGGAGAAAAAGGCAAGCTGAAATCTCCACACCCCTAAAAATGTAAACTTACCATAAGATTCATACCAGTTTTTGTTTACATGAGATTTACATTTTAACAAAAAAGGAAATGAACCTTTGGTAGAAAAATTTGGAAATCTAATCCATTCGTATCTTCTTTCCTTTTTTAAAGAATCTTCACTCTCAAAAAAAAGTTGCTTTACAAGAGGAGTCTTTATTGCATGCTTAAATGAACAATCACTATTATACTATCTCAATCAATACAATATCAGATCATATTACCTCCCCTTTTTCCATAGCATAAATACAACCAATACTGGGGGTAGGATGCTTATTTCAAAAGCACTCATTAAAAAGGAAGGAGGAGGGCCAGCCCCTGTGGCCTAGTGGTTAAGTTTGGCACACTCTGCTTCAGTGGCCTGGATTCTGTTCCCAGGTGCAGACCTACACCACTTGTCTGTCAGTGGCCATGCTGTGGTGGTGGCTCACATCTAAAAAAAGAGGAAGACTGGCCACAGATGTTAGCTCAGAGCAAATCCTCCTCGGCATAAAAAAAAAAAAAGATGGCTTCAGGACTGTACTATTAAATTTCAATTTTATCTTTATGCTACCTAATTTGAACATGTGTAGGACATTATTTTTGAAAGGAATACTTTTGGAGAAAAGTATCTGACTGGACTCTTGACCAAATCTAAACTACCACTGTTCTCTAACACATTTCTAACGAGAGACAGAGAACTATGTACTTGAAACAGATTTCATAATAGTTTATATTTGCACACAAATTCTGCCACATTGTTCAGCACCACCAAAGTAAAATTCTTGAATCTTTCACTGAAAATGAAAAACCAATCTGTCACCTGTTCCCAGGAAAAAACTGACAGTTCTACAAAATCAGCTGATTTAGTCAGATAGGAACTGAAGTTTGAAAGATGGTCTTTCCAAGTTGCAAATTCATCAAATAAAGACCATTCTAGGAATATGGTAGGACCAAAGAAAATGAGAAGGCCAAGCAGAATGACTACCACAAATAACTGATAAAAGCTCCAGGGAATCTTGCTAATGAAAGTGCCAGTGTCTTGAGGCAAAGAAAGTTTATCCACATCTACTAGTTTTATGTCTTCCCATTGACTGGTATCAAAGTTCTTCATTAAAGGGCTTGTGGGCAAATTAGAGGGAGGTAAAGGAGTTTCCTTGATTACTTTTATTTTCTCCCTGAACTCCTGCATCTGTTGTAGAAATATGATAGGTTCTGACACGTCTTTGAAAGCCTCAGCAATGTTAAAGGCCATTCGTTGTTCCTGCAAGATGGTGTTGAGTTTGTTGATCTCTGGGTCATAGGCTTGCATAACTGCAAGTTTCATGGTCTCCAAGTCAGACAGGATTTCATTCTTCTTTTGATCTAATGTGTGTTGTAACTTCTCAAAAAACTCCTTCACTTTATCTGAATCTTTAGTCAGTAACTGTAGAGATTTCCTTTTGCTAGTTTCCAAGGTATCCAAGCGAGAAAGAGCATCACCCCGACGCCAGGTCTCAAAGCTCTGGAAGAGGGACTCAAAGGCATCCCTTTCCTGAGCATAGGCATCTTCAATAGAACAGAAGACATGCTTGGTGTGGTCACCACGAGTAGCACAGATCCCACAAATCAGCTGCATATCAGTCAGGCAGAAAATGTTGAGAGGCTGCCCCAAGTGTCCTTTGCACACTGGCATTTTGGGAGAGATCTTGATCTTGTTATACTTCTCCACAATACCCTTCAGGGAGTAATTAACCTGCAGGCTATTGACTCCAGTAGCTGAAGTTTCCTTACGGCATGTGGGGCACTTGAATGGAGATAATCTCCACAAGGAATTCCTCACATTCCCCTCTAAGATCCCTTCTAAGCATTTTTTGCAAAAGTTGTGCGAGCAAGGCAAAACTCGAGGATCATCAAACAGACTGCAACAAATTGGGCAGGTGAGATCTTCTTCAAGCAGCTCCATCACATCCTACCATAAAGAAAGAAACACTTTATTTTACTCCAGTAATCCCCTCCACACGGACTATGTAATACAGTCATGTGTCACTCAACAGGGATACATTCTGAGAAATGCATCACTAGGCAATTTCGTTGTTTTTCGAACATCATAGAATGTATTTACACAAACCTAGATGGTACAGCCCACTACCCACCTAGGCTATATGGTACTAATCTTATGGGACCACCGTTGCATATGTGGTCTCACATTGATAAACATGTCATTATGCGGCACATGACTATAATCAGAAGAAACTATCTTCACAGGCACTAAAATTGATCTTTCACTAAAATAACCAGGCAAACAAAGGAAATAAGTGAGAAATTTGGGAAGAGAATGCACACCAAAGCAAATTTCATCTGCTGGGACTAGAACACACTCCTTATTAGTATGGCTCCCTGTACACAAAGGCTTTGTGTGGGCTTTCCAACAACAGTCTTTGGCTGAAACAGGGTTAGGACTAGGACAACTGCAAGTTGAGCCAGCAGGACCCAATTGATTGTTTTAAAACAGAGAGCTGACTACTAGCTGTCAGAGACAAAGCTACTCAGTGTCTGAATAGAATGAGCTCTTTAGTCTGGGCCCACAATTATAAAATGGTGTGCTATTTAAAAGAAAGCGCACAGAAATATAAATCCAAGCATGTACTCTCATGCAGACTTCTATTAAAAAAGTGGCATATTTTTCTATCAAAGGCAAGATCACAATTATTAAAATCATGGGTAAAAACATAAGATGAGATAGTTGCAATTCATTCTTCCCTAGAGAATTAAATGATTTTAAAAACCACTCGAACAGTAATCAAAGCCATCTTGTACTATCTAGAGCATCAGTTCTCAAAATGTGGTGGGCAGAAACCTAGATGTTCCCTAAGGCTCTTTCAGGGCATCTGTGAGATCAATATATTTTCATAATAATACTGAGATGTTATTTGCTTTTGGCACTGTGTTGACAATTGCACTGTAAAAGCAATGGTGAGCAGACACTGCTGGAGCCTTAGGAGCAATCAAACAAGGTGACAGGTAGCACCAAATTGTACTACTAGTCATTGTATTCTTCACCACCACATACCCACAGTAGGGGTCAGGGTGAGGGTAGCCAGTTTCATTTAAGAATGTTCTTGATGAAACAGTAAAAATTATTCATTTTATTAAATCTTGATCCTTGTGTATGTGTCTTTTTTTTTAATTTGTGTGTTATGTTTGTGAGGAAGATTGGCCCTGAGCTAACGTGTGTCAATCTTCCTCTGTTTTGTTTGTGGAATGCCTCAACAGCGTGGCTTGATGAACAGTACGTAGGTCCACGCCTGGGATGCAAACCCGTGAACCCCAGGCCACTGAAGCGGAGAGCACAACCTTAATCACTATGCCACTAGCCTGGCCCCTGTGTACATGTTTTTTTTAATATTTTGTATGACAAAGTAGGAAGAAAACACAAAGCATTTCTGCTACATAATGGTAAGCAGATATTGTCTGGGGGAAAAGCACTTATGTGATTGAGCTGCAAGCTGAACCAGCTGCTTTTTTCATGGAACACCATTTTTCTTGACAGAACAAATGACAAACTGGCTATTCAGACTTAGGTATCTGGCAGACATTTTCTTGAAAATGAAGAAAATGAGCCCATCACTTCAAGGAAAACAAATGACAATACATCTTGCCAAAGATAAAAGTTGAGTTTTTGAGTGAAAATTAGAATTCTGGAAAACATTTTGCCACTTAAGAGCTTGATGGATTCCCATTAATTAAGGACTTTTCTAACAAGTGGTGATATTAACAAACGGGGTTTTTTAAGGGGGGAGATTATTGTATAATGAAATATGTTAATATTTGGAGATCTGCATAACACAGTGAACTAATTGGTTCAAATCACCAATGTATGTTGTAAATCATGCATGGGTAAAAGACAGAAAGACCAATACATTCAAAAATACGATTTCAGGGCCCAGCCCGGTGGCACAGCGGTTAAATGTGCACGTTCAGCTTTGTTCTGCTCCGGTGGCCTGGGGTTCGCTGGTTTGGATCCCAGGTTTGGACAGGGCACTGCTTGACAAGCCATACTGTGGTAGGCGTCCCAGATATAAAGTAGAGGAAGATGGGTACGGATGTCAACTCAGAGCCAGCCTTCCTCAGCAAAAAGAGGAGGATTGGTGGCAGATGTTAGCTCAGGGCTAATCTTCCTCAAAAAAATATATATATGTGTGTAAGATTTCAGGGTCCGGCCCAGTAGTATAGTGGTTAAGTTTGCATGCTTCCACTTCAGCGGCCCAGGGTTCAGATCCCAGGTACAGACCTACACACTGCTCATCAAGCCATGCTGTGGTGGCATCCCACATACAAAATAGAGAAAGCTTCGCACAGATGTTAGCTCAGGGACCATCTTCCTCAAGCAAAAAGAGGAAGGAAGACTCCAGTTGTCTTCTATAAAATAGAAATTCATTAGAGAGATCCATAACTATGTAAAGCAGTGCCATTCTTCTCACAATTATGTTTTGAAAAATAGTTATTTTTCACAATATTAATGTTAACATGTAATAGGTTTATCATTATTTTAAATGAATTAATATCAACATTTTTCTCAGTTTTAATTTCTAATACAGTAAATATATACAGTACACACGTAAACAAAAGCTCTTGGGATCCTCAATTCTTAAGAGTATAAAGGGGTCTTGAGGCCAAAATATTTGAGATCCCTGATCTAGAGAATACCCTTTCTCATTGCAAGTTTATTATTTTAAAATGTACATTTTAGGGCCGGCCCCGTGGCCTAGTGGTTCAGCACACACTGTTTCGGCAGCCTGGGTTTGATTCCCCGGCACAGACCTACACCACTCCTCAGTGGCCATGCTGTGGTGGTGACCCACATACAAAATAGAGGAAGGAAGACTGGCACAGCTGTTAACTCGGGGTGAATCTTCCTCAAGCAAAAAGAGGAAGATTGGCAACAGATGTTGGCTCAGCAAAAAAAAAAAAAAAGAACATTTTAAAACTTCCTAAAGTTTTTTTTATTGAGATAACATTGGTTTATAACATTATATAAATTCCAGGTTACATCATTATATTTCCATTTCTGTGCAGACTACATGATGTTCACCACCCAAAGACTAATTACCGTCTATCACTGTACACACGTCCCCTTTTACTCCTTTTGCCCTCCTCCTTCCCCCTTCCCCTCTGGTAACCACCAATCTAATCTGTGTCTATGTGTTTGTTTGTTGTTGTTTTTATCCTCCATATATGAGTGAAATCATAGGTATTTGGCTTTCTCTGTCTGACTTAATTGGCTTAGCATAGTACCCTCAAGGTTTTAAAACCAAAAATAGTGCTAAATATGTCCTCATTCAGTTTATTGTCCACATTACCACCAAAGTAATAAATAAAATAGGATCTAATAATCTGTAGACCATTTATATCAAAAATAAGTAATTTTTTAACAGGAATTTTAAGGGTCACAATTGAAGCTACAATCTAGAAGATAAACTATTTAATAAAAGTTAAGCTGAGCTTGCAGGGCTAATTTGTTTATGGTTTTATATTAAGTTGTGAGAGAGAGATATATATATATAATAAATATATAATACATAAATATTTAGAACTAAAGCAAAGATTATTCTGTCAAATTTAGTTTCACATAGCAAAAATGTGTGATTAACTGATTTTTCTGAAAAACCTTTTGTGACATGAGAAATCATATAGCCTTTGAAAGGCACCGGGGAAAAAATGGCTATAAAGACTGTAGTGTGCTAAGAGAAGTTATCAAGCAGCTGTAAAACATTACGACTTTTTAGAACAGAGGAGGAAAACTTTCATGATCCTCCAACCCAGTCCTGTTGCACACTTTATTACCTCCACTGCTCTCTGTTATCTTTCACCTAAGAATTCTATGCTAAGGCTAGATTTTGGAGTACGCAGTAGAAACAGGAAAGTAGTAGGGGGCATCATTCAATAAAGTAAACCTAACCTTGGCAAGTTAATATTTCCAGAGGATCCTATCCAAGCACATGAAATAAATAAGAGGAAAAACAAAAGATACCAAGGGGTTGGGATGAGGAGGAGAAAAAGGGCACCCAAGGCAAAGAGAAACTTTGAAGAAAACTGAGGTGAGGATACTGCAATAGGGGCCAAGAATAATTTTAAGGCAATCAAGTATGATCAAAAGGAAAGGGAAAATGGCAGACACAGGAAAATTTAGAAATAATAAAAAGTCATCCCAAAGCCATAATCAACTTATAGCTCTTAAAATGAACCAGAGAAAAAAATTACTACTTGGAAAGTCCCTTGTTAAAAAATGGCATCAAAATTACAGTAGATCCTGTTGTTCCATTTTTAGTGATACAGCTTACAAATTTTGATTTATAATTTAAAGATTCTTATTTGCATTCACTTTAAAAGCTAAATACTGTTTTGTTTTCTTCTCTTAACTTTATATTCAAAACTTTCTCTATGACAAAACTATGTGACTACTACTTCCATAGCTGACTTTCAGAGAAAACTGAGACACAGTAGCCTAATCCAAGAAACCATGGCAAGTTTGTTGCCACAAAAGTTTTAAAGGAAAATACATAATAAAGAGGTTTTTAGTCTAAGTGAAGAGTAGGCTTCACAATAAGGGAACTTACAGATCATTTTCTTAAAGTGTGGCTAACATAAAAATCTGAAGACATCAATAAAGCTTACTCCTTTGAAGGAACTAAAGTACACAGCCCCTCTTATGGGGAGTTAATTTTATCACAATATAGAAGTCAAGAAAGTTGATGTGAACAAAATTACTGTTCACCACTCATAAAATTTAAGCTTAGCTAATGTCAAAATAAGTGCAGAAAGGCAAACAAGTTTTCCAAGATTCATTTCTTCCTTCGAAAGTGTTTCTGAAAACCAAAAAAGTCTAAATATTGAAGCATAAAAATCTATTTTCCCAGCAATTAAAAACTTCCCAAGTTTTATACCAACAAAGAAAGTAGCCATATACCTAGTTGTCTACCACCTCTCTGATGTTCAATCTCGTTTTCCTGCCATATTTATGTTTCTTAATATACTTTTAAACTTCTATACAATAAAATTCACTTTCTTTTGGTATACAGTTCTATGAGTTTTGACAAATGCAGAGTTGTATAATACCACTACAGATTTATTTTTAAGCAAATTTTCAAGATATCCACACTAAAGGAAGACTACAAAAACTGCTTTATCAATCCTACCTTGAGTGGGTACACAGCAACAAGAGTCTCTACAAATGAGAACTGTTAATATGACAACCAGAATATTAAAAATGGAAAAATCAATGCTTACAAAGGAGTCATAACTAGAAGTAAAAGCTAATATGTGTGTATAGCCTTCTCATTCCTAGAAGTCCTTGGTTTTTGAATGATCAACCCAAAATGATTATAACGCAAAAGATGCTCACTTATTGACTCTTAAACAAAAGTTAATTTTAATAAAAACCTATTTATTAAAAGAAACTTTCCTATTAAACCTTTGAATTTCATTAGTTGATATCAATATAAAGTTCAAAATATTACCCATTATTTCTTTCCAAATCTCATTAGAGAACAAAAAGAGAAGCCAATATATTACAGTTAATATCTTACTGATTTAAACCAAATTTCCATTCTGCTTTGAGGCATCTTTAACCTCAGGAATTTCAAAGTAGTATCTAAATACCTAACAAGTAACTAGACAGCCATATTGAAACTCACTTTACAGACAAAACTAAATTATAGGAAGCTCTACGAAACTGAGCACCGTCAATCTTATCTTAGAACAATGCTTAGAACAAAAGGACTCACCTTTTTTTTAATCACTTCCTCTCAGCATAGTAATCTTATTTTCAAGTAGTATACTATATTTCTATTTTAGATTGAGATCCACTAATAATGCTTTCTTGAAACTCATTAAGGGTCTAGCTAACAACTATTGAATTCAGATAGAGGATGTAAGGATATTTATTGTAGAATCATTTGAATTTTCTATATACTTGAAATTTTTTACAATAAAAAGTTGGGGGGAAAAACTAGAAGAGGGTCAATTATAAGAAAACCATATTGAGCTCAAAAAGTAAAACTTCAGAAACATTAACTAAGTATGATAATCTGCTACAGTATTTTTGTGTGTGTGAGAGGAATATTCGCCTCGAGCTAATATCTGTGCCAGTCTTCCTCTATTTTTTGTATGTGGGATACCTCCACAGCATGGCCAATGAGCAGAGTACCTTGGCACCCCGGATCCAAACCCATGAACCTGAGCCGCTGAAGTGGAGTGCACAGAACTTTAACCACTCCGCCATGGGGCCAGCCCCTGTTTTATTTCTTATAAAATAAAAAATGTATTATTGGAAATCTCTAGATTCAGGCCTGTGAGACTGACATACTTATATGGTTCTCAGTCTAGGACCTTTGACAAACCACTTACACATAATCCAGTTTCTCTTCTCTTTGTACAACTGTTTTGAAAAGTATCTAATAATAGATGAAAATTATTTATAAAGTTTTTGTTTTAAGTACTCTATATCAATGTGTTATTACACTTCATTCTGGCTTTTAGAGACTGTTCCATAACTTAGGTGATCAAAACAGGACAAAGAAAAGATTTCCGATATCTCAAAACAGGAATATTAAAATTAATATATCACATATAGTGTCTAAAATAGCTTATCTAATTGTTATGTGGCTCTTGCAAACACAATATAAAAGTCACCTATGTGTCCACATAACACAATAAGTAACTTACCTTTTCTGGCATTATCCTAGAGTGAGTAGTAGTAAAAATTTCCCCCAAGATATTTCTAGTAGGATTCCTGAAAAGTAGGGCAAAATAAAGCTAGTACAGAAGGTCTAAGAGCTTGGAAGGCCCATCAACTCAGAAAGTTCACAAAAAGTTTTTGGACTAAGGTGACATTATAATCCAGACCACTCAGAAAACCTCATGTTTTTCCTTTCTTCAGTGTACTACTATTTCACCTTGACTCTTTCTTTTGTTTATTCTTCTTTTAACTCATCTTCCCCATACTGTTTGAAGGAGTACCATATTTTGATTTCCTCTTATGCTTTCTTTTTCCCCCACCCTCCTCTTCACCTTACTTATCTTTCTCTTTTTCCTTTTCCCTGTTCACTTGATAATCACCCAAGATGTTATTCTGTAATCCTGTAAACCTGCAGCATTAAATCAATAGGGTTTTTAGGATACCAGTTAGATCAAATATCCCTATCCCTCTTACGTACAACTATTGAGAAATCTATGTGGTCTCCAAATGGTGTTGAATCCCATTCTCTCCCACACAAATGAAATCAATTACATAAAGACTAAATTATTCTCCTAGTCTGGTACCAACCAGACCCAGATATTTATCTTTACCTATTAAGAGTTCAAATTAAGTTAATTTAAGTTGCAACTCCTGACTTCTGCAAAGGATTCATGAACCAGAAATGTCTGGTTTCTTTTCTCCCAAATAAATGTAAACGGGTTTAAGCGAAGGTGGCAAATTTTTAACCATAAAACAAATTGTCTTCTTTTACAACCATAAACTTGGCAGTCATTAACCTAAATTATTATCCCCAACAGGTTCATATCTATTAAAAGTGATCTAACTCTGTATTTGAGGTTAATTCTAGCTTTCAAAAAGTACTGTCAAAGTCTAGCATTCAGTAGGTAGCTAGCTAGATTTATCTATATAAGTGAGATTATTTACATAGTATGGTATGAGCAAAGTTCCTTATACTCAGTGTAGAATTATATATGCACATATTATTCTAAGTAAACTTCATCTACAGAATATATCGAGTAACTAATTATGCTAAACTTTAAGCAGGTTTTAGGTTGGCTATGTTATATATACTATGTTGGCACTCCTTGCTTATATTCAATACTGCAAATATGCAGGGGGAAAAGGAAGAGCTCCTCTGGGAGTTTTAAATGGGAAACCAGGCTGTTGCCAAGCAGGATATAATTGTAGCACATATGCCACAGGGAAGACAATGATTTAAACTATCAGCAAATATTTTCATTCAACTTTTCCTTAGAAGTGTATCTAAATCTATAATGGAAATGAATTAAAAAGAGTTCACATTAAGGGAATTCACTTTATACAAAGCTTAAGTAGAAGGTAACTATTCTGTATTCAAAGGACACTTGTATTTGGTTAACTGTTATGAGAGGTGGGCATAGCACTCTATTATTCCAGGACCATTCTAGTATCTAGAGTCTCAGGCCAAGGTAATGACAATGGCAGTGTCTTTCATGAATAACAAAAGTGGATAATTCAGTGATCTAATGATATTTTTAAAAATGAAATGTAAGCCGAAACTCAATTCCTGCCCTAAATTCAGAAACAGCACATTTACAAAGATATCATTACCCTAAAAGATATGATGAATGCCTTATAAAAAGGACAGAGAAAGCTGACACCAAACTGAAGTTGGAGAGCTTATCCATGCAATTGGCTTTTATATTTTTCTTAAATTATAAAATTTGTGATTATAGAGAATTCAGAAAATACAGGGAAAAAAATCACCCATAATCACATCACCAAGGTATAACCACTGTTGTTATTTTGGTATATTTCTTCCAATATTATTTTGGCTTATTTCTTCCAACCGTGTGTGTGTGTATGTGTTTGAGCACACACTTATTTTTACCACTTATTACAAAAGTGGTAGCATAACACAATTTTGTATCCACTTTTTTTCACTTATTTTATCACATGCATTTTCCCCATCTTATCCATATCTTATGGATATGTTCTTCCTTATTGGTTGGTTTTTTGGTATTATAACATTTAAATGAACACTTCGTAGAAAAGTTCTGGTCCACAGCTCTGATTATTTCCTTTGACAACTCCCTTAAGTATACTGGTAGGTGGCTAAAATGTAGGAACATTTTGAAGGCTCTTGAAAAGACTGCCAAGTTTCCCTCTGGAAAGAGTATACCACTTTATGAACTCTAACCAGTGATGAATGAGAGTGCCCCACCTCTCCATGCAGTTCCTGACCTTACAACAGAAACTTTTTGTGTGTGTGTGAGGAAGACTGGCCCTGAGCTAACATCCATGCCAATCTTCCTCTATTTTATGTGGGATGCTGCCATAGCGTGGCTTGATGAACAGTGCTAGGTCCGCGCCCAGGATCTGAACCTGAGAACCCCAGCCACCCAAGCAGAGCATGCAAACTTAACTACTATGCCATGGGATCAGCCCCCAGAACCATACTTTTATAGAGCTTAGTAGAAAAACAAGAACAAGGCACACTTTTTCTTATCATACCTAACCAAGTTTAAAATACAAAACAGCTTAAGGCAGTTAATATTAGTATGCATCTGTGTATTACCAATATATAGAGATAATATATAATAATAAAAGTTATGGGGTAAGAATAAAATAGAAATACTGAGTTTAAAAACATCTTTGAGAACATCTAGCTAAACACCTAAATTTATAACTAAAAAAACTGAGGCCCTCCCAAAATGGAGATTTCTCAATTGTACACAACAAACTAGACATAGCACCTGAGTTTCCCAATTCTTAGACTTGAGCACTATCCAGAAAGTGGATCAAGAATTCCATATCCTCATTCATAAAAAGGAAAAGTTTAATCATGGGCTCTCTAAATCCCTTATAAAATTCTATGATTTTTACAAATTAGATTGTAACAGGCTCTCCAGTGAAGAGGAAAGAGCACTGAACCTGCTTCTGAATACCTAGGTTCAAGCACTAGTTTTACCCTTTATAGAATGAAAATTTTTACACTCATAATGTTCTTGGAAAGATTAATGTGTGATAATTCTGTAAACTGCTCAATGATATAAATATAAGGTGGTTTCATTACATATGTGTACAAATACTGTAAAAACTGTAAAAACACATTTAAAGTGTTATGTTAGAGCATGAGTGTATTAAGCAAGAAAGGTCCCAAAAGCCAGTTGGATTCTCTTGAACTGTAATTTCAAGGAGAGGCAAAGCAAGTATTACATGGGATAGCAGATACAAAGCACCTGCATGGAAATGGGCATATCTGAACAAAAGCTGTGGCAGAAGTAGGGCCAGGTAGCCAACCAATCATAAATGTATATTATAAAAAGAATAACCTGGTGTTACGGAAGGACTTATCAGGGAGGTTTAGTATGTCAGCTGGTGCAAAAAAGATGGTATTTTTAGGGAAAGATAAGACAGCCTGAAGAAATGTATCTAACCAGTTAACAGCTCCATCAAGTTCTACCAGAGTGAGTGGCTATGTAAATAAAATTATGCTTTTAAAATACCTATTATATAAACGTTTCTAGCGTCAGAAAACTCAAGCCCTGTTGTACAAGCCCTAGCAGGGTGGCACAGGAGAAGGGGGAAAAAAAAACTATAAAAAAAAAAATTGCTACCGAAGCCTCTTTTCCTTTGCAGTATAAATCTTTGAAGTATAATACATCTCAAATAATTGCCACATAAAGAATTTCCAAGTATGGAATCTATTTTTCTGAGTTTTGACAAAATATGAAAACAACAAAGACCATCCATGAGGCTGGGAACACATACATTCTATTCTACACATTTCAGTTTTGAAAGGCCTCAAGAAATTGAGTGAGTTTTTGTTTTCTGGTTTTTTTAATGTAGGAAAAAATATTGTAGTTTACCTCTGTCCCCTGCAAGCAGGTGTATGCGTCAGGGTTACTATTTCCCAGGGCAAAGCAATCGGTTTTAGTTTTTTTTCCCACGTTGTGACTGACTATAAAACGAAGCTACTGCAAAAAAAAAAAAAAACAAAACAAAGAAGAGGGTATTACGTATTTATTTGCACAGGATTCTTAGTCTTGACCCTCTGTTTTTTCAATCGTCCCCCATAAATAAAGGCAGCCTGCTAGGACCTGTGAAAAAAGCAGGAACGTGGGCGAGGCTGGAGATCTTTGTACTAAGGAGCTTCTCGGTTAGGGCGCCCTCCCTGGGCACAGGCAGCCTCCCCAGGTTCAGTGCCGGGGTGGTCGCGTGCTCGGCCTTCTGGTTCATGGTCGCCTTTTCTCTTGCAGGCAATACCGAGGCGCTGGCACTGAAGCCGGGCACGCTCGGTAGTCGAGGTTTTCTGGAGCAAAGACACGCTGCCCCGGCCCGCCGGACGCCCATCTGCACGCCGCTCCTCCCCACGCCCTGTCTCGGTGCCCCGCTGATTTCCGCTGTGCTGCTGGGACTGGAGCTCAAATTGAGCTCTCCGCCAGCCCCCCACCCACGCAAGTCCCTGCCCTGCCAGGGCAAGTCCCCACCCTCGCGGTAGGCTCAAGGACCACCCCCCTTCCCGAGAGGAGCCCTGCGGCGAGTACTTATCTCCGACCTCCGGGGCCGCGGGAGGGGCCCCGCCTGGAGCCGCGCAGCCGTCCCTCGTCCAGCCGCGGGAACTGCGCCTTACGCGCCGGGCAAGGCAGCAAAATGGACTCGCGGCACCGGCCGGGCCCCGCCCCACCGCCTTCCTCCCTACCGCCCTCCTCCCCACCGGCACCTCGGTCCGCCTCCCCGGCCGGGTTTCGCCTTTGTTGCGCCTCCTGGGTCTCGCCTTTCTCGCGGGGGAGGGAGTGGGTGAGGTGCGGCGGGCGTCCTTCCGGTGTCTGTAACCGCCACCGCCCGCGGCGCGCGTGGAAGAGGGGCGGGCCCGGGGCTGCTCGCTTCTCCCTTCCAGAGCGCTGCGCGCGCCCGCGAAGCGTCGTGCCGGGAGCGGGCGTGGGTCGCGAAGACGAGCGGGCTAGGCCTAGACCGAGCGCGGGCGACGGGAGGCGGCGCCGTCCCCGGTGGAGCCGCCCGGGAAGAAAGCCGGCGCGCAACACGATGGTTGGGTTTGGATTGTTGTACTTTTTTTTTTGTTCGTTGCATTTTTAGGAACAAAAAAAAAAGCCCAACCCTTCACACCACTTCATCCGCATCTCTGAGGACCAGAAGCCCGGCCACAGCGGCTTGGTGGTACGGAGACGACTGTCTGCACCGCACCCCCGACCGCAGGGTGGGTGGGACGGGCACTCGCATTGGGACCAACACCAGGGCTGTAGCCAACGGCTCCGGCCAGAGCACAATCAAAATAAGATTCAGTACCGTCCCCCCACAATCTTTCACCTGTTCCTTTGCAGGCTTTAGGCCAAACACCAGCGACCCAATTCTATTTAATATTTTTGTTTAGGGAAAACACTACTGCTCTTTATTCTGGAGAAAAGGAAGAATTTAAAATTAGCGTTAAATTATCCACCGCTAATGGTTAAGTCGCTAACCTGACTCACTATTCTGACGTCCAGCCCCCTATGTAGGAACCTTGTCTAATATCAGACACGGTAAGCACTTACCAACGCGCAGTTCCAAGAAGGATACAAAGATGAAAGAATGGCTTTTCATTGATTTCAATGATCTTTTCATCAAATTTTGCCTTTGTAGAACAGTTTCTATATTTATGTCATTTAGTCTTCAGAAGAACACTATGAGATGGAAATTATGATGCTCATCCAATAAATGAGGAAACAGATGAAGTGATTTCTCCAAGGTAAAACACAGGGGCCAAGCTGAAACTCTACAGTCAGATTCCAGATATAGTTCTTTCTACAGCACGGTCACTGTCGGTGCCAAAGAAAACCACCCCAGTCTCCTACTACGTTAGTGTTACCTTGAAAAAAAAGGAAAAAACCTGATTTATGGAAACATCTTAAATACTCTAATATGAAAATGATACAAGAGTGAAAAGTTAACTTATAAATCACGAATTATCTTTAATGTAATTATATAATTTATATAGTTGATCTGGCTGGTGGTAGATAATTAATAAATTTCTGGCCAACTAAATGTACTAGTTAAATTTGCATAGAAATCCCTAAACTGTTAAAAAAATGAACTATTAAGAGAACATTATATGTTAAACTCTCTTAAGTATAGAAAAACAGGGAAGGAAGAATAGCCTCTCTCTCCTCCCATGGTCCTAATAAAACAGTGGTCAGGGAATCACCACATACAGTGTGACTAGAAAAAAAGAGTAACTGCATAATAAAACCTACATGCACAGCTACATCCTTCCTGGAGGAGCACAGTGTAACTAGATCCTGTTACTGATGACGCTGAGGGATTGTCAAAATTGTTGTCACACTGGAATTCCCTTCTATTGAGTGTTCTTCAAATAAGTAAACTAACAGCTGAAGATTAGAATTCATATGTCAGCACAGCAATAAGACTATAAATATAGTCATTTAAGTTTCTGTCTTTTGTAATGTATTTTTACAGGTAGAATTTCTAATATTTTATATATATGAAATACATATATTCTTTGTTGTGTTGATTTATTTCATGCTTTTTGTTGTGGTTTTTGTTTTTTTGAGGAAGACTAGCCCTGAGCTAACATCTGCTGCCAATCCTCTTTTGTTTCTGCTGAAGAAGACTGGCCCTGAGTTAACATCCATACCCATCTTCCTGTACTTTATACGTGGAACACCTACCACAGCCTGGCTTGACAAACAGTGCGTAGGTCCACACCCGGAATCCAAACCAGCGAACCCCGGGCCGCAGAAGCAGAACGTGCGAACTTAACCACTGTGCCACTGAGCCAGCCCCTTCATGCTTTTGTTTTTGTCCTGAGCCTTGACAAAGGTAAAAACTGCCACCTACCAAGACATGTGACCAGGTGTTGCATAACAAAAGGGACAGTGCTAAATTTGGTATAGAGTGAAATGTAAATTATCAGAATGGGGAACATCTAGTAAATAAGCCTGGAGCAACTGTGTGCAGGAGAGGGGTGCTGGTGAGCCTTCTCAGACACATTGGAACATTTTATTATTATTCTGTTCTTCCCTTCCGGATAGCTGCCAAAGTCATGAGTGCAAGCCCCAACGTTCCCCAACAAGCGTTCCTGGCAATACAAAGCAGTAACATTGCAAGGTGTGGGGGAAAGAGCAGAGGCTTTGAAATCAGTTCTACGTCCAAACTCTAGCTTTGCTGCTTACCAGTTGTTCAAGTTACTTAGCATCTCTAATCTTCAGTTTGCTCTTCTGTAAAATGGGGAACATGATTCAATGGATTATGATAATTAGGTTAATATATAAAGCAACCAACATTGTGTCTGACTTGTGGGAGGTACTTAATAAATGGTTGCTACTGTTAGATGGAACAAGAAAACCATGCTGGTTTTGGATTACATTGCCTTGGATTTGTAAGTTTGAGGCTCAAGCACAATAGTCTTAAGCAGAGCTAAATTGCCTATGCAGTAGAGGAAGCTAGCACCATAATTTCTGCCTTTCTACACCCAGCCCAGGGTGTCCTTTTAAAAAAGTATATATCCTGCCATTTCTATACCTCCTTCCTTGTGCTTAAGGAAAGGAGAAAAAAAGGAAAAGACATCACACTCAACAAAAGGAAGACTTTACAGTTCTTTTTAAACATCTACAATTTCAGAGAGATTGAACATCCAAAATATTCTGTTAAAAGAAAAAAAATCTACCTGTACAAATATATTTATCACAAAAGAGAGAAACTTACTTAAGACTTGATGAAATTAAAGGAATTAGTCCCTGGTTTGAAGAAAATTCCAGATTCCATATATTTCAGTTGCACAGTGAAGATCATACACAGTGGACCAAATAGCAAGATCACTGAGGTTTGTAAGAGAATGAGAGATGTTTAAGCAACAGTAAACTTGGCCTTTAGTTGGGCTGTTTCTGTAGATGGAAAGAAAAACTGTAAGAATACAGTAAAATGTCAGACGTAATTAAGATGAAACTAGCATATGCTTATAGTTATATACTCAGGATTGTGCTAGGCACTAATCAAGGAATTTCCCATTTGGCTAAAGAGGCAAGTTTTAAAAACATGAACTAGTTCAGTAATAGTACATAATAGTGGCTTTTTAAGAGCCAACGTGAGTGGTGAAGACAAGATCAGAGAAGACATAAAAATCATCAGGGAAGATTTCACAGGAGAGGTGGGAGTCAGAGGGAACCTTTAAAGATCATAGGATTTGAAGATGAGAAAGAGGAAGAGCACTGGAGGTGGGGAACACAAGCCCAGGGTGGGGATGAGCTTCGCTGATACTGAGTCAGCAAAGAGCAGGGGCTGGTTTGAAAATAAAATTTGAGGCCAAATTGTGAAATGTTTTGAATGTCAGAATAAAGATTTGAACTTCATTCTGTAGGAAGTGGGAAGCGACTGAATAATTACGTATATGGCACTAACAAGATGAGAGCAGAGTTTTAGGAAGATTAGTCTAATAACAGGATCCAAGATTTAAGGGAGAAGAAATTTCCTTTATTTCAATACTTTTGAGGTTTGTTATTGAAACTTACAGATTTTTAAAAATGCAGTAATGTATACAAAAGTATAGCACATATGATTAAGTCCTATTGAACCATTTAATATCAAATACGTTGTTTATTAAAGTTCCCAATTTATAAATAAAATGTAGAAAGGATTAACCATGACAAATATTCTCCTAGAATCCTCCAAGAGGAAATTATATGTATGTATATATATTTATATATCAATCATATATATAATTTATCTTACTATAATGATCTTAACTATATCATATGACTAAAGTTAAGATGTTGCTTAGCTTCATTTTAGAGTATGGCTCACTAGAGCTTTAAAAATCATTATATGTGTATACTCTGAAATGTAGTGCTGTTCTGATATTTTAACAATGATTAATTACATTCAATTATGTTAATTAAATGTTTTTCTAAATTTAATTTCCATATATGTAGAATTTTATTCTTGAAGAGTAACTTTATGAGGGCCTTAAGAAATGATTCATTCAGGTAAAGACTAATAAATACTGTATATTTGCAGTTGTTTAAAAGAACTTGATTTGTGGAAACTATTTTGGAGTCTTTCTGTTGAGTTCATCAATCGTTATGTGCTCTATTTTTATCTTGAAAAATGTCAGTTATGATAATAAAGTCATAGTTATGATTTAGAAAACTACATTCATCCTTTCTATGGGACATTTTTTAGCATATTTCTTCTACAAATTAAGGGTACAACAGGGGTAGGGGTTCTGCAGTTTTCAGCAGCTGGTAGATTCCTGTTCCTTCAACACACTCTCTTTATCTTAAATAAAGGCAATAAGACATCTCGTAAAACTTTGATTCTGAAGATCTAAACTTATCAGATATCTACCTGCACAGCATTGCACAAGAAATACATGCTTCATGTTCTTTAACGTAAGCCTGGTTGAGTCTCTCTGATATGAAAATGCCTCGTCAAAAATGTTTTATAATGGTCTTGTTGTTTATAACACTATGCTGCTTGTTGCTAGAATGTGGCCCGATCTTCAGGAGTTCCTCCTGTATCTAAAGCAGCTTACACCCCTCCCAGTCAGGCAAAAGACACAGCCAATTCAGAAGATGCATGAGACTCCTTATACAATATCAGCACGGTTTAGGCATTTCGTGAAGGGCGTTGATCTCCATGTTGTGAAATTCACTGGACGTTTTTTTCAGTTCTCATTTTCCTTAAGCTCTGAGCAGCACTCACTACCTCCTCCTTAAAAGGCCATCTTTCCTTGGCCTTAAGTAACATCACGCTCACTCCTGGGCTTTTCGTTTTTCAACTCAGAAACACTCGCTGTTTCATCCTCTGCTACCCAGCTTTTAAATTCTGGAATTCTTTGAACACTCAGTTTCAGGACACTCAGGACTTCAGTTATCATTTAATGACTCTCACATTCCCTGTAAAGCAGGGATCACAAACTGATAGCCTGTGGTTACACCATTTTTAAATGATGAAACTGTTTGAATTTAAATACTTTAGCAAAGGCATGCTCCTTCTCCTTCCTCTTCCACAATCCTTCATCTCTGCAGGCGTTTGAGTAAACGCTTGTGTAACCCAAGTGCCCACTGCAGCTTGAGGGTTCCTACCACCATCACTCCCCCCAAGTTCCTTCTCTCCCTAAGGCACCTCCTCACTGGC